CTCCTCCTGGGAACCAAACTCCAACTGCTCCCCCCACTACCCCCCTCCACTCTGCCAGGAAACCAGCAAATGTAATCAAGAAAACTCGTCTGTCTGCTGAGGGTCTGACATTCCAACCACCGCCCACACCCCCCCCGGAATTCACTCAATATCCTAACACCACTCCTGTACCCACTAGAACTAAGATCTCACCCCAACACTAGACCTGACAGACTATCCAGTGCCTGGTCCCTGCCACAGGACACAAACCTCCCCTTGCCCCCACCACTTGGCCTGCTTGCAATCTCCAAATACCATAAAACACCAGGCTCCTTTCCCACCTTGAGCTCTGGCTTCCCACCCAGCTGACACCCTGCAACCCTACCTTTACACTTACCTTACAAACTTATCTTTACATAACAGGTGTCAACAAAATGGCTGTCTGTGATGCTGGACATTAAATCACAGAATATGGCTGCTGTGAAAAAGAGAGCATGGTTTCTCTTACCTCAGCGGTCCTGGAATAAGAGGGACCCATTAGAATTACAGTATGCTCTGCATTTCTGAAAAAGAAACCCTAATCGGAATCTCCTGTCAGGAATGTAGACCTGCTTCTTAACACATAAAAGAATGCAGTGAATGACTATCTGAGTGAGATAACTACTGTTCAGAAAATCCAGCCCACTGTTTCACTGACATGCTGTTCTCCAATGAATAGGGTTCATGGTGATTTTCCCAAGTATCTGAAGGTCTGTGCCTCCTGTACCTTGGAGGTTTGTGTTTGCTGTTCTGAGCCTCATAGACTTCATGGTGAACAGTCTACTGCCATTAAAACAGTTGCTTCCCTGTTGGGTTTAAATTCTGTTTCAAATCCTTAAACCTTCAGTTCAATGGTCCAGAATCTGTTTTGATTCTTTGACCTCTGCTAGGAATGTTGTCTTCATCTTTTGTTCCTTACTTTTGACATCTTGAACTATTTCCTCATTGTACAACTTACATTTCGCTGGAAATTTTCTTTTTGCAGGACCTGCGCATTATTTTTGAGGTGACAAAGTTGCTGTAACTTACAATATTTTATAAAGTGTTTTAACTCGCCATAAAGAAAGTACTTAGCTCTTTGTGCTGAACATTGGTTGCATTTACGATTCAGTTTGGAATTACAACTTCTATGACAGATGATGACGTTGTTTCCCACAATTTTCATATTTTGGAGAGTTTTCAGAAGGGTGACTGCTGTTTTGAGTCCTACTTCTACTCTTATTATGTCAGAAGAATCCTTGATGTTTCCTTGCAATATAGATCAATTTTAAATCAATTCCCTAGAGATTTGGATTGGCCTTTCCAAACTTAAATCCTCCTTGGAATGAAGAAAGTTGTGTAATTTCTCAATCCTCACAGCAACTATTAAACAGTCTTTAATTACTGCATCCTTCAAATCTGCAACCAGACCTGCAACCATCTGCTGGATTAGATGAATCCACAAAAAACCTTCTCCATTGATCCTACTGAAAACTGAGATTGCTGATTCATTCTTACCTGTTCTGCAACTAAATTTCTTCTGGAGTTAATGTACATAATTTAATCAATTCACCATACTCATTTGTGCTTGCTTGCAAATTTGTCTTTGCGGAACATCAATTATTGGATCTACAGCATATAAAAACAAGTTGCCTTGAAGACACTGCTCCTTTGTGTCTGAGCCTGAAGCTATTAAGTAAGACTCTTCAACTCCTTGTGTACTAACATAATAACATTCTTTTATTTACAGCTCTACACAGTAGATGATCAAATATAGCTTTCTAGTCTAATGCTTAAAACATGTCTCTTCTAGGCTGGAGTCCTTCTCTTACTGATGTTAGGATCAGAAAATCAATTACCATCATTGTCATTTAGATCAATCTCATTTACCACAGTCACCACTAATTTTTTTAGTAAAGTAAATTATTAAAAAAATTTTAAAAGCATTAACGGCATATGAGATATGCGAGGATTGCTGAACTGTAAATTTGTTAAGCAATCAAAGGAGATGTGAGGGGCAAGTTTTTTTCACCCAGAAAATGTGGTAGGAGTCTGGAACACGCTGCTGGGGTGGTGGTGGAGACAGATATGATAGGGGTGTTTAAGGGACTTTTAGATAAGCATATGAATACACATGGAATAATATGGACCAAGGACAGGCAAAAGAGATTAGTTTGATTTGCCGTCATGTTCGGCACAACATCATGGGCCGAAGGGCCCGTTCCTGTGCTGTACTGTTCTATGTTCTATAGCCTACGAAATTCAAAAGGCCATTTTCAGGAGTCTTTTAGAAGCAAGACAGGAACTGAACCAGTCCCAAACCATTCTCCTAGACCGTTAAGTACGTTCAAAGGTTTGAGAACAGTTTCTATGAATTTACTCATTAGTATAATCAACATTTAATGAAATTTTTGCACTGTAGAAATTTTGTATTGATATATAAATAACTTTTAAGCTTATCCATGACTAAATGTTAAGTGGAACTATTTTATTCCACTTCATAATGTGGTATATAATAGTGAAAAAGGGTGACTGTTTGGATAAAGTAAAACATGGATAGAACAAAAGTAAAACAGATTGACAATAATTTATTATTTGGTGTGTCAAGAATATTTTTAATTTCATAGCCTTTTATAGCCAACAACTATATTCTAATTAATGCAAGTCATGTGAGATCCAATCACCAAAATTAAGAGATTGCTGTTTCTGTACCTTACTAGTTTGTTGCTTGTTTATAATAGATGAATACTAAAATACTCACTGAACTTACTCTTGACTTGCTTGTCGACTGTGTTTGTTAAATCATAAAAATACTCTGAAGTATTTCTGATATTAATGTAAAATTATGTGAAGTTTTTAAAAGTATAGATAATTATATGGTTTAAACCTAATAGATTTGCATTGTGCTGCATTGCACATCAAATCAACTAATTAATCTCCCATTGCATGGAATCAAAACCAAATAAAATCCCCTGGCCAAGTAAGGTTGGAAGGAGGACATAGGTGAAGGAGGTTGACAAGGATGGGGAAAGGAAGGAGTAGGAAATAAAGTGGAGAGTAACAGGGTAAATTACATTTAATTCAGCAAGAAGCATATGCCCAAACAAAAAAGCAATTCACTGCATATATACTCTATGACTGGTAGTAATGTTTACAGAGAGTGATAGATATCTAGAGTGATAACTTTAGTTAGATTTAGCATATCACATTACAGGAGCTGCTATCACGATAACACTCCCTTGTAGGTTAGAGGTCATTTCTGGTGATTTTTGTAAATTAGTTCATTTGCCTCTTATTTTAGACGCCAATATGCTTATTTTAAATTAGGTAACATTTTCATTGAACTAAAGGAATGACATATTATCACATTCAGCATTTATTCATTAATATTGGCAACCATAGTTATTATTTATTCACTCATGGGATGTGGGTGTCGCTGGCTGGCCAGCATTGATTGCCATCCCTGGTTGCCTGTGAGAAGGTGGTGGTGAACTGCCTTTTTGGACCATTGCAGTACATGTGCTGTAGGTAGACCCTCAATACAGGGAATTCCAGGATTTGTACCCAGCGATAATGAAGGAACAGCGATATATGTCCAAGTCAGGATGATGAATGGCTTGGAGGGTAACTTGCAGGTGGCAGTTCCCATGCCCTTGTCGTTTTAGATGGAAGTGGGTTTGAAAGGTGCTGCATGAGGATCTTTGGTGAAGTTCTGCAATGCATCTTGTAATTAGTACAAACTGCTGATTCTGAGAATTGGTGATAAAGAGGTAGATGCTGTGGATTTGATGCCAGTTTGTAGACTGATCTTCAGAAATCAGTGAAACATAACTCAAAAGAACCTATGGAATATTAAGTAGTGCTATGGCCTGACCACACTTTGAACCTTGTATCCACTGTAGCCTTGTCCAAACAAGATACGAAGGAAATACTCAAACTGTGAAGATGATACAGAAAAGATCCATGACACTAATCCACTGTATCAAAAGAATGAGCAATGAGGGATAAGTGGGGAAACAGACTTTTACATTTTGAAGGAACAATCTTATGAATGAATGCATGGTAACCTCAGAGGTAATTTATTTAGGGGTACATCACAGCAGTAACACACAACAGCCAAATTTCAATTGATGAAAGGAAAATTAGACTTGATGTTGAGTGGAATACCTTCAGATCAAGAGTGACTAATGTTTGGAATTGACATCTGGATGGTTCATGGAGGTAAAAGCCTCTGAATAATTAAATAACTTCTGCAGGTTTTTAATTGGAGAATTCTTTGGAAGCCAAATGGAATAATTATCTTTCAATCTTCTGCTTTACTGTTGCCTTATGTGCCCTGTTCCATAATTTGGGATATTCGCACCCAGTTTGCTAGAGAACTGGTAAATGTGGAATGGTTAGAAACAAGCTATTTTGATCTTGATCTTCACTGTTGACTTATGTATCCTGGTTACCTTTGCCATTACGCAATGGAATTCCCATTTCTCTCAGTCCCATTGGCAATTAAAATATATGCTCAAAATTCAGATCTGCCTACCACAAACTGTCACCCAATCTGTTCTACTCACTTTTTCACTGTCTCCTTCTGTTCCAAAATCTGGCTCGCAATAATCCTTTTAACACTTGGCATTCTTCAGGCTTTAATTGCATACGGCATAACAATTTATTTCTGTTTATCAATGCAATATCTTCATTCAATTTGTGTTCTTGGTCATTGTCTGCTATATAATAAATTGTTGTGTCCTTCAGCAAGCAATACATCAAAATATCCTGAGAGAAATATTTCAATTATTGGTCCAACATACTGGATCTGTACTGTACAGTTTATTCCCAAACCACCCCACCATCTCCTTGGCAATTGTGCTGTGTTGCAAGTGCAGGAGCAAAAATTCAAATTATTTCACTGGGAAAGTGAATTTATTTATAACACAACATGAATATGCAGCTTTTGGGCATCTACAAAGAGTTGATTTCTAACATTGAACTCAGTTGCATGAGTTTACCTCATAAACATTGAACTGACTTTGTCCTCTGGCAAGTTCTCGATAGCTTGTTGTAAATTCCCCAATGAAGTCATGGCTGAAATCACAAGGAGGATATCATCAGCTACATTCTATTAAGAACCGTTCCATCTCCAAAGTAAATAACAGTAATACAAACTTAACTTTACAAAGTTTAGCTCGATTCTTAATTAATAACATCCAATGAGGATAAATATGATTGATAAACATAATTTAATGAATCACAATAAAAAGATATTGACATCCCTTCAACTAGGTGTTTCTTACATTTGATTGGATATTTTCTTGCATTTCAACTCACTCGTTTTATTTATACCAATGCATTAATAATCAAATTAAACCGAACTATATTCACACATACAAACAAAAACAGAAATTGCTGGAAAAACTCAGGTCTAGCAGCATCTTTGGACAGAAAGCAGAGTTAACATTTTGAGACCAGTGACCCTTCTTCGGAACTAATCGAGAAGGTTGGAATATATGCTGAAGACGGAGTGGGGGGAGAAGTAAACAGTATTTACAGACATCATTCCAGCAACACACAATGCAAGTTATAAGGTAAATAAAGTGAGACATTAGAGATATTTCAAAGAGGGGCTTCTGCTGAACTACAATTCCAACTGATATGACTACAACTGACTGCCCAGCCTTGATTCAACAATCCAAACACATACACATGTTTATCTTAGAATCAAATGTAAAAATTGCTTTCACTTACACCAGCTTAGCCCTGCAATTTCATTGGCCAGAATTTAGTGTAGTTAGCAAATGAATAGCATCCACCATTGGTTGTCCCTGCCTCTTTTACTTCCAACAGACTCTACATTGGAGATTGAAATGTTCCCTTAGTGGCGTCTACGAACTTTGTGAACAGGGGAAGTGACTGTGAGGAATTTTCCCAATCAATGATTATTGAAGTATTATGGAAGGAGCAGTACAGAATCTGAACGAGGTAATATAAGTTTAGAATTGTGAATTCCAAGTCAACTCAGGTATAGAATGCAAAATAGACAGAAGGGAGGATTGTGTTAGAAGAGAGCAAAGAAGTAGGAAAAGAGAAAAAAAAACTGTAAAAGAATACTTCAACAGCTAAACATGAAGGACTGAAACACTAGGCTTGTAAAAGTTAATTTTGAGTGACGATTATTTGCTAGTAACTAAAGCTTGGCACATCATTAGGAAAGGTACTTACAATGAAATGAAAATGTCCTAACTTTCTATGGCAAGTTAACTTTGTACCCAACATACAAGTACATGCTGTTCACTGTGTTATAACAGTGAGGCAGACAGCAAGATGGTGTTTCTAGTGGCACATGGTGAACACCATTGAACATGCAATTTCCCCATATGAAGATTGAAAGTGGAATCTTCTTTGCCACCGCATGATGTAGGCAATAGCAAGAAAATTGAGTAAATATACGGGATGGACTGAGGGTAGCTTTCTGATATCAAGAGCAAAATCTTCCATTTTCTAACCAAGTGTTGATCTGTGAGACAAGATTCTTGCTAGTGAGTGGTGAGGTGCCTGTTTGCATGCATTAGAATCCTGATTATGCTGCCATATCGTCGTTGATATGCAATTCTTCATTTCCCCACTATGAGATAGAAACTAGACGATGACAATTCATTATATGAAAGTCTCAGAGTGGTAACCTGGTGACTCCAGTTCAGCACTTGTTCCCTAGTCCTGCCTTAATCACCAACATCTCAGAGCATGCGCCATGGAAAGTGACCAAATGTAATCCCCTCCTCCAATCAACCAGTACCTCCAGGTTCCCAGTGGGGTGCCAATTAGAGAGACCTTTTAGACTTCATATATTCTGAAGCCAAGGATTTTATTATATAGCTGCCTGCAGGATGCCAACTTCCCTCTGCTCGACATGTTTGGTAGATGCAGACTGATAGTGCTTGACTGGTTTCACTGCTGAGATTTAAAGATGGCACCAGTGGTAGGAATCTCAAGAGAAACTGGCAGTGGCCAATATTGCCACCTGCAATGAGAGGGACAATACGAGCAGGGTGCAACAGGGACAGGGTTCATAGGTAATGAGGTGAGTTTGGGAAAAGAGTGTGAGAAAATGTGAGAGGGAATTGATATGTGTTAATTACCTTTATATATATCAAAAGTAAGGAGGAAAGAAACATATTTTTACTAAGCTGTCAGTAAAACACAATCTCAAATCATGAAGTCCTGATATATTGGAGTTTGAAGAAATATGTACATTATCCAGCCTATCCCAATAACTGCTCTCATTTTTACAATTTCACCTTGACTAAATCTAATAGTTTTCCAAGTGTATTGGTTATTCGTCCAGATCAAAGCATTTCCCTGCAGCTGATGGATTATAAGATCCTTGGTTTTGTACTATATAAGGTCTAAAGGTTCACTATAATTGGTGCTGTAATAAATTGCCATTTCATCAGGCAGCTCAACATCAGTTCAATAGAAGTCATAGGATATAGTACACTAAATACAAAAATGTCCAAACATAAACATCCTGATGATTCCCCTTTTCCCTCTACCCCACATACACTGAATTTACTACTAAGCCAGTCGAACCAGACAACATGCAGCTCTGCATTGTCAAAACTATCCCATTGCAGAAGAAACTTCCAGGAAACTTAAAGATAGGTAGCCATGTCTGAATTTTAGGTTCAAAGAGGGTGAAAGAAAATTCAGGCTTTGCAAAATATATAATGAGCTTTCTCAGTTTATAGTGAAATGTTGGCATGAAATGTTTGGTTAGTTTTGACTGTTTTTGCACTTGTGCTGTTTTGTATAAACATGAAAATCTTGAATATTCACTGTCCAATGTTACAAACGTACAGCTGAGCTGTACGGTGTGATTTTCAACAGTTTACTGCTGAGGTGCTGGTCTGAGATCTGGCTTTGAATAAGCTGATACATCATTCCTGCTGCAGTCCATCTGCTGAAGCCTTGCCTTTTCTTTACTTTACTATTTCAATGCTCTCCACCCTCCATACACTCAAATTAATTGAAAACTCTGTTCCTTCTATTCCATCTTGCACTATGCCCATTCACCCTTCATCCTTGCTTTTGTTGTTATACATTAATTCTTGAACTGGCAATACCTCATATTTTATCATTTTTATCCTTGTGTTCAAATCCGTCCATATCTCTATTACCTTCTTCAGACCTGCAACCTCCTGAGAACTCTGTATTCCTCCAATTCCAGCCTCTTGGACGTTTCCAGTTTCCTCTGCTTCACCACTGACACTCTGCCACCTCAGAGTTATTCACTGTGCCACCTCAGACTTATTCCCTGGAACTCCTTCCCTAAACCATGCCACTTTGCTTTCCCCCTTTAACCAAATTCCTTGAAACCTACCTCTTTGACCAAGCTTTTGGTGACCTATCTTAACATCTCCTTATGTGGCTTCATTTTACATTCTGTCTGATAATGCTCCTGTGAAATGCCTTGGAACATCTTACTGAAATAAAATACTCTAACTGTAAATTATGTTTGTGCTGTTAAATAGCCCTAGTGTTTCCTAGTGTTTCAAATTATACTTACTGTAATTCATAGCAATCCATTGTATGCATGACGTTCTTTTGTAAGAGAATTGAGAACATTCATTGAGAATAGAAGTTTATTTCCTAACATGCTGTATTTTAATAATGCAATAATTATTTGCTGTCTATGTGAAGTATGTCTACATATATAGTAAGGACAAAGGACATTGTCAGAGAGCATTTTTGAAACATGTTTGACAAGTTTGACAACTCCATCTCCTGTAGAATGGGTTGTAATTAAAACTGTATTGGCATGTAATCACATAAAATAAATCAAGAGAAACAAACAAATGTTACATTCCTGTTCAAGACAAATCACAGACTTTGTGATAATATATTTTGCACATTTTGCTTCTGTATCAATGCTCAGAAGGTAAAACCAGTAGAACTAGCTAGTGAGATGTACTAGTCTGCCTCATTTTGAATACTTCAAAACAGAAGTCCAGGATAACCAGAATCTTCATTTCAAAGTATTTCTTTTTTTTTTAAAAAAACTCTTTTTTCCCTCTGAGCAGGAGCACTGTTGTTTGACAATAATAATTTAGTGAATGCTGGTATCTTACTTTTCCTGGATATATCTTAAGGTCTATCTTTTTTCCCACCATAAAAGGAATTAAATCTGATTAAGATTTAACTTGGGAAAGAGAAAGATTAGAAGAGCCAATGGGAAATCTGCATCATTTTTCTTGGAGAGGCCCAAACTATTTTAAGTGTACTTTACAGAGTCATACAGCACGGAAACAGATGATCCACTCCAACTAGTCCACGCCGACCTTTATCCCAAACTAAACTAGTCCCACCAGCCTGTGCTCGGCCCATATACTTCCAAACCTTTCTTTGTCATGTATCGATCCAAATGTCTTTTAAATGTAACTGTACCCAATCCACCATTTCCTCTGGAAATTAATTTCACACACAAACTACTCTGTGTGAAAAAAATCTTTCTCCTACCTCCTTAAAAATATGCCCCCTTGTCTTGAAATCCCCTACCTTTGTGAAAAGATACCTGCTATTCACCTCATTTATACCCCTCATGATTTTAAAAAAACTTCTACAAGGTCATCCCTCAACCTCGTACACTCCAGTGAAAAAAGCCCCAGCGTATTCAGCCTCTCCATTTAACTCAAACCTTCTGTTCCCTGGTGAATCTTTTCTGAACCCTCTCCAGCTTAATAGCATCCTTCCTATAACAGGGTGACGAGAACTGGACACTGTACTCCAGAAGAACCTCACCAACATCCTGTACAACCTCAACATCCTACTGAAATCCTAACTCTTATACTCAAAGTTCTGAGCAATGAAGGTGAGTGTGCTAAACACCTTCTTAACCACCCTGTCTTCATGTGATGCAAACTTCAAAGAATTATGTACCTGAACCCCCAGATCCCTCTGTTCTTCAACACTGATAATTATTCAGAGTGGAGGCGTTGGGCTCGTGGCATTATCACTCAACTATTAATCCAGAAACTCAGCTATTATTCCAGGGACCTGGCACAGCAGATAGTGGAATTTGAATTCAATTT